TGTCATGTGAACGACTTGGAACACGATTTCATCGTTGGCGAAGCCATCAGTATACTCGTCGGAACAATGTGTGTTGTCATCTTCAGCTTCTATTACAGATGCAAATTCATTACCACTGGCATCGCAACCAGAATTTGCACTTTCTGGTCGTATTAACATCGGATAGTAATAATCTACTTGGTTATCGTTACTGACTTTATGTTCATTTTTGAGAAAAAATACATCCCGACTTATAATGATCTCGCTCTTTTGAGGATTATATAATCGAGATGCTTTGCTTTCGGCACTATAGCCTACCATAATACACTCAAGTGATTTTGGGTCTAACTTCTTTACTTTTTTCTTTACTTATATGCACCATTGCTGTAAGTTAGGTTTTTTTTAGACCAAATTTCCTCAGGACTGCGGGTACTACATCTACATCGATTTACGATATAAGCAGCTGTTACGGCAGCTTTGGCCAAAACTCCGACTCAGATTGCTATCAATTAACATACATCGAATGCGCTCTACGATCGTGCGATTCATGCGCTCAGCTACGCCGTTCTGCTCCGGCGCATATGGGAATGTCTCCTGATGCAAAATACCATGCCTCTTCAAAAAATAATTAAAAACATTACTAACGTACTCCCTGCCATTATCTGTACGTAATACCTTTATTTCGACTGCTTCTTTGAACTAAAAGAATTTTGTGAATACGTCGGACTTGTTTTTGATTGGATAGATAAACACTTTACGCGAAAAGTCATCTACAAACGTTACCATAAATCGAGCACCTGAGAACGATTTGCATTTGAATAGCCCAACCACGTCGGAATGCACTAATTCTGGCAAGGCACTCGCTCGCGTACCAGTGTCTTTGTTTGGTTTTCACGTTTGTTTACCTTTTACGCACACTTTGCATATTTCGTGTTTGAATTTATCCAATTTTACGCCTATGCAAGAGTTTTTAACGTCAATCAAGCTGCTGTCGCAAATATGCGCTAATCTACGATGCCACAAGCATTAACTACTTTTCCTGATAAACGTACTGCTTTGTTTCAGAACAACTTCACAATCTATACGATAAAGTCCGTTCTCAGCTGTTGCAGTAGCTATAAGATCATTTTTTTTTGTTAAAAATTTTAAATTTTTTCACCGCAAAAACAATTATTTTTCCTGCTTTCGTCATTTGGCTGACTGACAGCAAATTCGCGCACAGACCTGGAACATGTTTGACATTTTTGACAATTACGCTTTCTAAAAAACCATGCCAATATCTCCCACTCTTTCTACCGAAAGCTCGCTCTTATTTGCAACACCGATACCCTTATTGTTTGTTTTTCTTTCGTTTTGCAAAAACGTACTATTATTCGTCATGTGATTCGTCGCTTTTTACACGCGACATTTTAGATTTTTTCGTTTGAGGTTATTTTAATAAACAGCATTTTCTTTCGTCGAACCGCCGTCAAATTTTGCATTTTGAAGCAAAAGGTTTTTCACCATATCCACGGTAAGCTGTTCCTTCGAATTTTCCACAGCCATTACCAATGGCCTAAAATCGTCTGGGAGTCGGTATTCAACCCTGCATTCCGGACCTTCAAATCAATCATAATAAGTTTGTTTATATACTCTTGTATCGAACCATGATTTTCCAGCTTGATATTGACCAATTCTACCTTCCTTGTCAATCCGTTGTCCTCGTATGCATTTGACAGGGCATCCCATGCTTCCTTCGCCGTAGTAACAGCGTTATTTCTGCCAAGGCACGCTCGTTTATGTCATGGCTTTTTTGCGAAAGTACACCGGTCGAGACCACTTTCCAGCAGCCTTTGATAACGAGGCCAGATTTGTCTTGCCTTTTCCAGGTATCGAAATTTTCATGGCCGCGTAGTCTTTCTACCGGGCAAATTGCAGAAGTCGATGACGTAATCATTTTTTAATAAAAACTTTACACGCGTGGCATGCGGCCACACCTGTTGGATCTGAAGTAAGTTTATTGAGAGCCGGAAGTATGGTACACAGAGTATATTACATAAAAACAGGGTTGCATTTGTACTGTATGAAGTGCATTAGAAACACAGGGTAATTCATTTCTTCAACACTTAAAAATCAGCTGGTTCTAGATCTTGTAGTCGTTATACTGGTGTTGCTTAAGAATTACTGCAACTGTTGCTAAATGCTCATCTTTTTGCTGTGCTCGACGGATCCGTGCATTGACTTCTGAAGCTACAATCATAACAGAAAAGCGACTCAAACTGTCAACATGCTTCATGCTGCTACCTGCCCGATACTCTATTTTATAGTTAAAATCTTGAAGATACATTAGCCATTGCACAACCTCCCGCGGAACGTCTTTCTTCTTCGTTGTACACTTAAAAGCTGGACAATCAGTTACCAAGTCGAACTCAATACCCATTAAGTAGTGTCGTAGCATTTTTGTAGCTAGATATGCTGCTCTTACTTCTAAAAAAATAACTGTGTAATCGGCTGTCCTGTGGCGTCGTCTTTTTTGCTCCAGTAGAACACCGGATGCCACCTATCTTCATGTTGTAGCAATGTTGCACCAAAACCATATTTTGATGCATCAACGTGCAATTGTGTTTTGGCATTTAGTTTGAAAATTTTCAGTACCGGTTCTTCGGCTAGTGCTGCTTTCAATTTCTCAAAAGCCTGAATTTGGCCGCTCCCGGTTTGGAATTCGGCGTCTTTTTTTTAATAACGATGTCAACGGCTGGCTAATACCGCATAATTGTGCACAAATTTTCGGAAGTAACCTGTCAATCCGAGAAACGCTTGAACAACCCTTATGTTCTTTGAAAATAATTAGCACTGCATTTTCTCAAGAACCTTATCGACTACAGGTACTGGAAATCGATTCTTCAGAACAAGAGAATTGAGCTTGCGGAAATCTACACACAGCCTGTAACTGCCATCTTTCTTCTTGGCTAAAACCACCTTACTTGCGATATCAGAGCACGAGTCCCTAACGATTCCCTGCTGTAGCCATTTATTTACTTGTTTTCGAATAAATTCTCGTACCGTTGCCGAAACCCGACTAGGGCTCTTACGAAAACAAATTGTATTCCCATTAGGAATAATACTCAACTTTATGGGTGATCCAGTTGGATTATTCACCGGCTTATAATTCGTAATCAAGCTCATGATAGCTGTACTGTATTTTTGCTCAACATTTAATTCGACTTCGGTACATACAACGTTTAAAATATCGTACGCAGATTTATAATTATCTACGTTACTGTCAATTTGTGAAAATTTATAGCTGCCAGAATTCATGGTGACCACAAACTTTTGTAAAAAATCATAGCCAACTATTGCGTCAACATTAAGCTTGTCATCTTCAACGACTAAAAATGCATGAGTAGGGCTGACTTCCAAAATGTATCAATGCAATGTTTGGAAACTGTTATACTGCGGTATTCAAACTGTTTGTACATGCAGAGTTGCGACACATTGCAACCATATATATTGCATATTTTATATATTCAATATAGCAATGAACAATTTTTCTGAATTTTCCATTTTTAAATCACCAATGGTAACCAATAACAAACAAAGCATCAACTTTGTTTCTGATGCGCTGACTGCTATAGCGATGCGTTTTGATAACTTTTCGGATGCGTTCTGGAAAAGTACACGTCAATATTTTGTAGTTCGGCGTTATGGAACATTATACTTTGTACGTATGCAAAGCAATTGACGTTTTGGAAGTCAGCCTAGTATTCAAACCATTAACTTCAACTTGTGCTATAATTTCACCCAGTACCGACGTGGCGACATTACCTAAACGAACAAGCTTTGAGACACACCTGCGCAACTGTTGATCTTTAAAAATTTGTGCGTGTTTTGTCATGCGCATCAAAGAAACATCGGCGCTTGAATCTACCAAACAGCATACATTAGAGTCGTTAATTTGAATTGTATTGTTGCGATTATCATTCTTAATAATATTGACAACTGGCTTTGAATTTGTGCATTGCTTTGCCATATGCCCTACGCCGTTGCATTTAAAGCATTTAGTTTCCTCTTTACACTCTGCCCTTTTATGCTGAAAGGACCCACAATTATAGCAGTGCGGCTGTTTGCGTTCCACCCTTGTGTTTTCTTTATATTGTTCGCGTGTGTCTGTATATTTGGGCAGCGTTTGCTTGTAGAAGCATCTTTTGTCAACGTTTCTACCAACTCGTACCTCTTCCCCAGATCTTTAAACGTAGGTGAGCTATATAGATACGGTGACCATAAATATATTTTGAAAATGCAGCAGAATTTTTCAAAAAATTTACCTACATATAATTGCGCAGTATAAAAATAACAAAAATATACTACATATATACATTCCTCGTCATTTGAATAGCGCACCCTTTTTTTGATTTTCTACCATACAAAGTATGCTTGACAAAATTTTTATATGGAAGAAAATGCGCAGCACAGTCAACAAAAAAAATGTCGCCCCTATGTTTTATTTTTTTTTAATTTTCACAAATTTTTTAAATGGGATGTAGATGTAGAATATGCTATATTTTTATGAAAAGTTAATGAACATTAAACAAACAAAAGGAAAACTGTACCTACTAAGTATTAAAAGGATGCGCTATTCAAATAACGAAGAGAATATTTACAAAATTATAATAAGGCATATTACATATTACTTTACACGAAATATGAACCTCTGTTATGTAAATTTTTTAGGCAAACGACCCAAAGCGTTGAACACGAAAAAATACCCATGGTTTCAAAGAAGTGTTTTCGAGATTTGTTCGAAAAACCAATTTTTAGTACTTTTTCAGTTATTCCTCAATATCTCATGAAACGACCAACAGTTCGAAAGGTATTGATGGGCTCTTTGCAAAAATATATATTTTTTGTGCAGATTATTTTCCGAAACATCTACATTTCTCATCAGATTTTCATTTACTGTAAAAAGAAAATGATTGAAATTTAAATTTTTCGATTTTGGTCGCTTGTAACACTAACAATTTTCATAGAAATCGGCAAAGTAATATATTTTTGTTAGAGGACTGTAGGTCACTTATGTTGATTGGATAATTTTTTCATGCGATATTGATGGATAGGTTCGAAATGTACCAATAACACGTTTTTCAAAAAAATTACGAAACCGCTTGTTTGAAAGGAAAATTGGCTTGGAAAATATTTTTTTTCTTAAGCGATTA